ATCAACTTTCCCCTCTCTCACTCGGCATTAAAAAATTTTCGTCCTACCGCGAGGAGGAAAGTTAGCCGGTGCTCGCTTTTTTAATTGAAATCGATTAATCTACGTCGAGTCTTTGTAATTGAAGATTAATGCTCGGACGTTGTTGAGAAAGAGCGCGTGCCCTCACTTTCTATTCGTGCATTTTTTTTTTTTTATTTTTTTTTTTTTTCATGGCCGTAAAATATGTCTTCCAACTTTATTAAGGTATTAGAAGCGCAATCAGGGAAACAGATTGGTGCTTACGCTCGTGATGGAATGTAAAATATTTTACGAAGGATTGAAGCAGTGTACGCAGGTGTTGCTTGCGCAAAACTATTAAGTTTACGATAAGAACGTTTTGTCATTGTGATACGAGATGAGAAAAATGATGGAATTAATAAGTAGTAAAGCGTAAGTATACAATTGAAAAATAACTTACTTTTTTCATTATTTGAAGCCGAGGGACGACGCATCGTTGCATGGCATCGCAGACACTTATTAAAGAATCAATACGCTCTGTGAATTCGAAATTGACGACAGAGCGTATAAATTCTAAAATAAATATCTCGACATTAACATTTCGGCCGGGCTGACTTCTTTTAGCTGTAGCTGTACGAATAGACTTAAAAAACTTGTTTGCTATACATTTTTTGCCAACAATGTGATGCATTATTTATGCCGAGAAAAATTTGTATTCAACTACTACTTGTAACATAGTTCTTTACTTAATAAAAAAAAAAAAAAGGAAGGAATTCGAAAAAGTATTTATACATATGTGTTACTTCAAATAAGGTATGATGAAATTTATTATTTAAAATGTCTTGCACTTATCGATCAGAAAAAAAATTTTCCCAGTATTGTAGTGTGAATAGTGACGAATAAAAAAGTTTTTCCAGCAAAACGAATAAACGTTATTCAATTCCAAAAAGATGTTTGTATGTAAAAAAAAAAAAAAATGTTCAACCTTACAGTATAGTTCAAAGGGTCCATTAATAATATGTAAAGAAAAAAAAAATCCAATCAGGGCGTATGTACACTGCTCGCTCATCGCGACAATAGAGGCACGGCCCGCGACGTCGGGGCTTAATAATTGTCGCGTTTGATATCCCGGAGCTCGGGATTTCGAAGGTCCCGGGGCTTTTCCGGTAATTACCGGCCATTAAAGTTTCAGGACGCTAATAGCTCGCTGCTCCCTGTGCGTGGTACTTTGGTACAGTTAACCCACGTCCGGATCTCGATCGCGGGGGTCTTTGGTTAAACCGAACGAAAGAGGATGAGCCGTGACGCGCAATAAATTTGTTGGCGCGTACTATTCTGGACTTGGATGAATAATTAAATGATGAGAAGTCGAGTATTGGGAGAATCATCTGGTATATGCATTTGTGGAGCTTATGCGAGTATTGTGCGTTTACAGACTTGGGCTGTGAATACTTTTTCAAATACTTTGAAAATTTTTTTTTTCATCGCTACTTATAACAAAATACAAAAATTTTTTCTAACAAAAAGTATGTAAAAAGACTGGGCGCAAGACTGTTCACTCGTATATTTAACAATGATTAAGTACTTACTTTGATTTTATGAAAAACTTGGCTAGATCTATTGAAATGATAAAACGCACAGGTTTCTAGTATTAAGATTTTCGTTTTTATTGTTATTTCGTGTCTATTATAAATGTACAACTCCTCATACATTAAGTTTATTTTTTGTTCATTCAGCTTAAGTGACTAAAATTCCACGTTTTTTTTTTTTTTTTTTTTCCTTTTAGTTTTTTGCGTTTCATGTGGCACTCACGCGATAGTAAGTTAATATGCTTCTGAAGTTAATAGTGGCGTTTGGATTGGGCGAGAAGATCCGACATCGAGGCTTCGTTGGCGTCGCCGTAATAATTTTTTGGTGCCATACGTGATATGCTAGTAATGTGCGAGACAAAATAAAATTTCCAGGAAATTAGTAATTCGAAGCTAGAGAAGTTAAAAAAAAATATATATATATAAATCTCAGCTCTGCACATGTTTTTGCAACAAATGACTTTCAAGAAATTGAAAAATAAAAAGAAAATAGATGTGACCGTGTGGAGGAAGTGAATGAAAAATTGAAAAATACCAAGGAGAATCTTTTGTGGGCTGACGACGATTCCTCGAGTGCAGCCACGCGGCATCCATTCGGTTTTTGTTCTTTCACGCACAGTTGCACGATTCACAAGAATCTTTTCTCCTGCATCTCTGTTCAAGTTCGACCCTTTGCCTACACGCACTCACACACTTTCACACTTTTTCTCTAGATGCTTATTTTTTTTTATTTTAAACGTGAGTACAATTTTTGTTTTCTTTGCGCTAATCGCGCGTTGTTCAGCCTATACTATGCTGACGTCTTTATTATTTTATTAAGTACAATCGATTTAATAAATTTTCAAAGATGAAATGTTCATGCGTGTGATAGTTCCTTATTTGCACCCACTGATATTAATTTCTCTTGCAGTTTTTTTTCCGCCTAAGAAGCACATAAGTCGTTAGAATATTTTCTGAATTATATTTATAGATTTTTTCTTCTTTTTTTTTTATTGTATTTATTTATCAATTCAATCTCTTTTTCTGTCAATTCGCACAATTTACACACATTTTAGTGTGCGTATACGCAAACAGTTCATTGATGGTGGCGCACTCATTTTTTCCGTTGCAACTAATGTCAAAGCGATAGCCCAAATCCAGATACAAGTCCATTTTTATTTATCGTCGATTTTAAGAAAATTGCTCCCTGTTGAGGTTTTAAAAAATTTTATGCATGTATTTTAAACAGAAACAATTTTCTCGGTGGTTTAAAAACAATTTTTGTATTTTTGTATATTTTTTTTTTTTTTTTTTTTTTGCAACCGATTCGACATTAATCATGTAGTATTGATCTCGAGGGAATTCAACGTGGCTTCCTTTACAAAGTCTACAAACTACAGCAGGAATCATGAGGCGATATTTTATGTGTATCCCTGTCAGTAAAATTGGTTATCTATAATATTCAATGTATTATCAGAGCCATCTGTTAGAGTAAAGTTTTTTTCTTTTTATGCTCTAAAAACAAATTTGTATCGCTAATGGATGCTGTTTCATGAATGGAATACCAATAGTTTAATCTCTACAATGTTAAATTTTATTTTTTTAAGATTTGACGTTTTGTTTTTGGTGTATTGGTACAGTGGAAGTCAAAGAATTTTTGTTGCTTCAATATCTCGTCGTTTTATTCAATTTTATGATTATATTTATGGTTTTTTTTTTCTTATTGAATATTTTTGTATCAATAGTTTATCGAAACTATAGAATTTCACATAAGAAATGCAAACTACGATCGAATGATGTTTATAAAGTTCTTTTAACTACGTATTTATTATATATTATTCTGTATTCTTATATAATTTATTTGTTTTCATACCTATGTACGATCGTCGCAAGAGTAAGCAAGAAGCAA